GCTCGAGACCACAGAAACAAAAACCAAACTTGCTGGCATCGAGTGGATGCAGACCCCAGCGGACCCCTAGGACAGGGGAGGACAGCCCTGGGGGTTTCCAAGACTCACTCTTTGTGGGAGAGAACCTCTTGTCTTTCTCCCGCAGGCAGTCTGGTGGTTTTGAACTGCTGACCTTGCTGTGAGCGGCCCCACGCATAACCACTACGCCATGAAAAAACGAAAAACCAAGCTCTCGGCCATCAAGTCAGTCCCTCCTCTCGGTGGACCAACAGGTCAGGGTAGGCCTGACCCCATGGGTTTCTGAGACTGCAACTCTTCATAGGCACAAAGCTCCTCATCTTTCTCCCTCGGAGGAGCTGGTGGCTTTGAACCACTGACCTTGACATTAGCAGCCCCGATGCATGCCCATCACCCCACCACAGTTCCTCAAAAGATCTTGAAACCCCTCAAGAAGCAGAGCAGCCCTGAGACCCAGGCTGGGCTCCAGGGCCGGGTGCCAAGAAGCCATGCAGAGGCTGCATCTGCACAGCACCCAGGGCTTCCTCTCCCTGTGCTCCACCAGGAGGGGCCTGTCACTGCCCGATACATCCAGAAAGTGGCACAGGGCTCCATCTGTCTCCCAGCTTCCCCTCAAACTAAAAATCCAGGAATTGCTAATGGAGGAGACCTCTCACATGCAGCCAGCAGCGGGGGAGTGGAAGGGGGTGTCCCGTGGCCCAAGGAATGTCCTGCCGAAGTCGGAGGGTCTCAGGGTTCGACTCTGAGCTCCCACCGGGGGGTCACACTGTAGGAGGCAGGGACCACGTTAGCAGGACACCATTCCCACCGAATCGTATTCCACAGCCAGGCCTGGGCCCCACCTCCGTTCTCCACCTGTAGACCCTGTGTCAAGGACACCCCCTGAGCAGCCCTTGTCCCCCCACCAGCAGCTCCTCTGCCTCCTTTGTCTTTTCTGTAACAGGAACCGGGAGGTTGAGGGCGGTGAGCCCCATGGAGGGGGCGCTCAGACAAATGGGGGAAAGGGCAGTGTGGGGGGGACTGGACAGTGCTCCCCAAGCTCCCCTATCGCCTCTCTAACTCGTATCTTCTTCCCACCAGCCTGCAGCTTCTGCATTTTGAGCAAAGATGAACCTGAAGGTTTGCTGTTCCTGCTGTGTTCAGACACAACTCCCTGGGGAGTAGAGGAGAAAGCAAAATAGTCCCATGGGCACCTTATACCTCGGCCCCTCTATCTAACAATGTCGCTTCCTGGGCCACGGGGACCTGTGGGCAGCACTTACCATTTGAGGACGGCCAGGAGAGCCACTGTGAGGGCCACTGTCACCAGGGAGGTGTCCCCCGCCCACTGTCGCACCCTCCAGCCTTCCATGGGGGCCCCGGACCAGACCGCAGTGTCCTCTGGGGAGAACGCGGCTGACCTCGGCCTGACAGCGGAACCCAGAGCCACTGCCCCCGCAGATGCAGGCAGCCAGGCGGAGAGCCGGCTGTCCAGTGGGCTCTCTGAGTGAGCGCTTATAAAGAAAGAGGAAGGAAGAGGAGGGGGGAC